CTACTTCTGCTTCTTCACCTCCAACCACTTGTGATGAGATCGAGTGAGTAAAAAGTGGGAAAATAGGCGGCATCCGAAGACCGATTTTAGGTCTCTCTATAATTTAAATTAATGTTTAAGTTAACATTCGCGACGGGGAAGAAGTTAATGGTAGCACGTCAAAGCTACCTTTATGAAATTAGAAGAATTTTTAATAATATAATTAGAAATTTTGTTATTTGCTTTGCAATACATGTAACAATACAATAATTTAGTTATAATACTTTTTAGTAAAAAATTTTTTTATATAAAGTTCTAGTAACTATTTTGTAAGCTTAGCTAAATATGAATTATACACTCAGAGTGTTTCAATTCTAACTCATCATCTGCTAATGGTAGATTCTTGAAGTCATTTCGAAACGAAAATTTAATACCATAATGTCCAAGCTAAATATTTTTTTAATATAATGAATATCCAGAATTAGAAATATCTATAATTTTATTTTTGCATATGTTATATCGATATTAACAAGAGGTAACTCTTATATCGATATTAACAAGAGGTAAATGCAAAATTAGCTTTTGCATTTAACACTTTACTTTGTATTATACCTAAATGCGCAAATTTTAGACGATACACTGAAAAAAAAGATTGTTTGCTGCAACAATTTAGATAGTAAAATATGGCACAGCATTTTTATATGGCTGCAGCAACAAATTTTTAGTTGCGTTAGCCTATCAAAATCATATACTGACATTGCGGATAGGCTAACACAACTAAAAATTTGTTGCTGCAGCCATATAAAAATGCTGTGCCATATTTTACTATCTAAATTGTTGCAGCAAACAATCTTTTTTTTCAGTGTATCGTCTAAAATTTGCGCATTTAGGTATAATACAAAGTAAAGTGTTAAATGCAAAAGCTAATTTTGCATTTACCTCTTGTTAATATCGATATAAGAGTTACCTCTTGTTAATATCGATATAACATATGCAAAAATAAAATTATAGATATTTCTAATTCTGGATATTCATTATATTAAAAAAATATTTAGCTTGGACATTATGGTATTAAATTTTCGTTTCGAAATGACTTCAAGAATCTACCATTAGCAGATGATGAGTTAGAATTGAAACACTCTGAGTGTATAATTCATATTTAGCTAAGCTTACAAAATAGTTACTAGAACTTTATATAAAAAAATTTTTTACTAAAAAGTATTATAACTAAATTATTGTATTGTTACATGTATTGCAAAGCAAATAACAAAATTTCTAATTATATTATTAAAAATTCTTCTAATTTCATAAAGGTAGCTTTGACGTGCTACCATTAACTTCTTCCCCGTCGCGAATGTTAACTTAAACATTAATTTAAATTATAGAGAGACCTAAAATCGGTCTTCGGATGCCGCCTATTTTCCCACTTTTTACTCACTCGATCTCATCACAAGTGGTTGGAGGTGAAGAAGCAGAAGTAGGAAGTTATCCGTTCATAGTTTCCCTCCAAATATTCTCCCAACACTTTTGCGCTGGATCCATCTTGAATGAAAAATGGATTATAACTGCAGGGCATTGTATTAACAGCATTCCTATTTTAAGCATTCTTCGCATCAAGGCTGGAAAGTACAATCTTCAACTTATAGAGAACACCGAACAGACAGTTAAAGTGGTGAAAGCTTACGTACATAAAAATTATAAAGGGTAAGCAGAAATTGAAAGTAGTAAGTACGAACAATTCAATTAATTTTTATATAAATGATTTCTGTTTAGTATAGAATCAATGTTCTATTTGTAACGTTCTTTTAGAATCAATGTTTGATTTCTAATTGTATATAAAGGTAATCTAAAACATAATTTTGTATTAGTAATGTAAAACATAATTTTGTATTAGTAATCAACAGTTCTTTTTATAGAATGGGTGCAATAATCGAAATAACGATTAGTGGTAGTGATAGTCGCAGCATTTTGATATTAATATCGCGATTAACATTTGATACTTGGAATTAGAAAAGTATATTTTAAATAAGTAATGATATATAGATTATTTTTCAATATTTGTTGCGTTATGTACATGGAATTTCTATTAATTTTGTAGATCATTATTATTCTTCTACTAATACGACAATTTTTTTTAGTACATTTTTTATACATTAATTTAAAACATATGTTTCTACAAAAAAGGCATAATTAACTAATATATAATTTTGTATATATATGTATTGCAATGTATATTCTAATTTTTAGTGGTGTAGGTCCATATGATATTGGTTTACTTAAGCTTGCATCTCCATTGAAGTTGAACAATAATGTACAAGCCATCGAATTAGCACCTCCAGAAAGTGAACCAACTGGAAAGGCATGGCTTTGTGGATGGGGCTCTATCTCGACTACCAATTATCCAATAATGCCAAATAAACTTCAGCATGTTCAGATAGAGTACATCAATCGCACTATTTGCCATGAATCCGTCAAACGTCTCACGGGATCTTCCCCCATTCATGAAACTAATGTCTGTACTGGGCCGCTGCACAATAAAATCTCAGCATGCAGTGTAAGTTCCAGACATTTAGTAAATTCAGTGAATAATAATAACTTTGTTGTCTTTTTTTAATGCAACCACTTAATATGTCGTTGTTTTTAATATACTTTTAGGGTGACTCCGGTGGTCCATTAATTTCGCATAACGGAAAAAAATCGGTGCTTACTGGAATTGTGTCTTGGGGTATTTTGCCATGTGGTACTTTAGGCGCGCCCTCCGTATATACAAGGGTATCTAAATTCAATGACTGGATTGCACAGAAAATTAATTCAAATTTCAGTTATGTTTAACGGCAATATTGATAATGTATAAATGTATAATACTGAATGAGATATTGTTATATATTATTTAATACAAAATAAATATTCATAAATAAAAGTAGGCATAAATTAAAAGTAATATGTTTTTTTATTCCTATCCTACATAACATAAAAACTAAGCAGAAATTTTATTAGATATCATGGTAAAAGACATTATAAATTTTATTTATTTTATTTAATAGATGATAATAATAACAAATTTGATTTTCTGAAATATTACATCAGTTTCAATGCTCACACAAAGAAATGATCAGTTGAAGAGATATCAAATCTCTACATTCAAAATTCCTATCGATACAAACGTTGAAAATTAAATGCATTACTTTTAATTTAAATGACTATAATAAATGTCAAATGTTCAGTAAATTCAGTAAAAGACAACAGTTTTCTTATTTTCTATTAATATAGCAATTTAATGTGTCGAGTGTTTAATACACATTTAAGATATTATAATATAAGTGATGCATTAATATCACGTATTTATAATACATTTTTATCTGTTGTTTATCTATTGTACGAGCCAGTTATAATAGGATTTGCAATTTAATTAATTAAAGAATGTTTTAACGTTACAACTATAATTTAGTTCAGTTTTGGCTTTTTTAAAATTTAGTTTACTTTAAAGTTAAATCATTATCAGAATAATTAAATTATTCTTTATTAAATAATAACGATGTAAAGACTCTTAAATGTAAACGTAAATAAACAAACAAATAAACGGCGAAAGAAGAGTCAGTAGATTAAAAAAAAAAAACATTTAATTAATTAAAATTATTAGGCGACGATACATAAACAGATACGGAACGGCGCATTCTTTATTAATTTTTATACATATTCTATAACATATCATACAAGTATATGTTTATTAATACATATTCTATACATATCATACTTGTATATACATTTTATTTGGATATCTTTGTTATTAATATCACTATTCTTCTTATTAATAACACTATTTATATAACCAAACTTAATTTAGTTAAATAAATAAATTAAATTTTAAATATATTAAATATAGATTAAATAATACATTTACATTCTGTATAAAAATTGTGAATTTATGCACGTATATGCATTATATATCAGTATATCTAATTTTATAGAAGCAATTTTATATTGTACATACTATAGAGTATTGTTATTGAGATGTACAATATATACGACCAATAGCATTGTTTTGTACAAATATAAATCATCTGTGTTACGCGGCATAGTTTAATATTTACATCAATTAATATACGTCAAGTCATAAAAAAGTATCATCTGGAATACAATTTTCCGTATTGTAAAAATATAATGATTAATTGCCGTAGATAATAATGGTTTGTCAGCGTACAGATGCACCCGACAAGAAAAGTATAAAATGCGATCTATTCTATTTGGAATTGTCATTAAACAGCAAAATGTATTCCAAAGCTATAGTGTTCTTTGCTTTCCTAGCCATGGCGGTCGCTAGTAAGTCAATTTTTTCGATTTATATAACATATGTACTGTTTGTATTCAATTAAAAAAAATGGTCACCAAGACATTATACAAAATTTCTTTTATTAATTAAAGAATTTTAAATTTATTAAATAAATGACTAAATTGTTGTATTGTATACGAATTACGAAGCAAGTAGCAAAGTTCAATTTCTAATTAAAAATTCTCTTCTAAAGTATTACAATAAATTATTATAAGAGTTACTTTTGATGTGCAATCAACTTCTTCGCAAATGTGTTTCCAGAAATTTTATCTATTAATTTGAATTGTAGTACAGCCCCGAATCGACTTCCAAATGCCACCTATTACGTCGGATTCAACGGATACTCCGTTTGAGACTCGTGTAGTTGGAGGTCAACCAGCTACGACGGGACAATTCCCATTTATAGTTTCCCTTCAACTAGTGAACAGGCGTCAATCTCAGCATTTCTGCGCTGCATCCATCCTGAACGACCTATGGATTCTATCAGCAGCGCATTGTGCTGACGGAATTTCTAAAAGCCGTATTATTGTAAAGGCTGGTAAAAAGGATCTTAAAACTAAGGAGGCTACCGAACAAATAGTAAAAGTATCGAAAGTGTATATACATGAAAAATATAAAGGGTAAGTAAAACGTTGAAAGTGAATACAAAACAATTAAATTAATTTGTCTTTGAATAATATTTGTTTAATATGTAATCAATGTTATGTTTATAATTAATTTCTAATCGTATATAGAGATAATCAAAAACATAATAGTTCTTACATCAATAATAATCAGTTTTGTTTGTAAAATAAGTATACAATAATCGAAACAACTATTAATGTAATGTCACAACATTTGTATTAATATCGTGATTAGCATTAAAACATACTAGGATATTGGAAAACTATATATCTGATTACTATTAAAAATATGATATTAGAAAACTATATCATAAATAGTAATGACGCACAAATTATATTTTGAGATTTGTTATAATATACACATATACGAGTATTCTATTAATTCTGTAGGTTATTACTATTCTTTTACTAATACAATACTATAATCTTATTATTATCTTAGTATTAATACGTTAGGTTAAACATTTATCTTTTTTTAAACTGTATAATTGATATGTATATAATTTATATATACATACATTGCGATATATATTTTCTAATTTTCAGTGGTGTTGGCCCAAATGACATTGCTCTATTTAAGCTTGCAACTCCATTGAAGATGAATAAGAACGTACAAGCTATCACGTTAGCCCAACCAAATAGTATACCAACTGGAAATGTATGGCTTTGTGGATGGGGTTCTATCTCGACTACCACTACTCCAATAATGCCAGCTAAACTTCAATATGCTATGTTGAATATTATGAATCTCAAATCTTGCAACCAAACCGTCATTAAAATGACGGGATCTTCTCCTATTGATGAAAAATCCAATATCTGCACTGGATCACCGGACGGAAAATCCTCATGCAGCGTATGTGCAAGATATTCAGCAAATTTAATGAATGATAGTAGTATTGTTGGCAATTAATATAGCAATTTAATGTATTGTTTTTAATATGCTTTTAGGGTGATTCCGGTGGTCCACTATTTAAAATTATTGATGGAAAACCAGTGCTTGTTGGAATTGTATCTTGGGGTATGATACCATGTGGTACTCAAGGTGCACCATCTGTATACACAAAAACATCCAATTTCAATAATTGGATTGCGCAGAAGATGCGTAATTGATGATGATAATATTGACGAATGTATAATACTAAATAAAGTATGAATGTATAATACTAAATAAAGAATTATCACATATTATTTACAATAAACATTCAGCATAAATTAGAAGTAACGTTTTTTTATTCCTATTCTGCATAATGCAAAAATTAAACAGAAATTTTATTGAATAAACATTTATGACAAAAGATATTGTTATTCTTATTTATTTTATATAACAAATAACAATAAAAAATGATTGAAGAGACGTCAAATTCAGATCCGAGGTACTTATCAATATAAACGTCGAAAATTAAACGTTTTTATTAGGAATGCATCGAATATCCGAAAAGTATCCGGTATCCGATGTTATCCGACACTTTTTTACTATCCGCCCATATAGTCGTATATTATTAGTATCCGGTAATACAAGTATCCAGTTGAAATTTGATATCATTAAATTGTTGATTTTTTATTATATAAATATTCTAATAATAAATATGCATACTTATAGTGTTATAATAACTTATATGTATATTGGTGCAAAATTACAATTTTTTTTTCTACAGTTTTTTTTTAAAGACATTCTCTCGGAATCCGGTCGGATATTTGAAAAATATCAGATATTCGACTCGAAAAATTACTTTTCCGGATATCTGACCGGATACCGGATATTCTTATATTCTTTTTGGATATCCGATATCTGATCCGGTAATTTTACGATCCGGTGCACAACCCTAGTTTTTTTACTTAATTTAAATGACTATAACTTATTTTAATACTTTTGATACTTTTATTTAATTGTCTATATATGGCTGTCCAGTTTATTTTATTTTAAAACAAAATTGTAATCTGTATCAAAATATATTTTATTTACAGTATTTACAGTATTTTCACCATAGACCCTTATTTTGGGGATTTGTGTTTAAAGAATCATTTCATTCATAAATTTTCATTCGAATTGCTTTTTGTACAATCAATTATATTATGATTAAATATAAATAAAAGGGAGCATTTAGCTACAATACTAGATGTCTTAAGCAAAAGTCATATATTTAAAATTAGAATATAATAACGTAGCCATTTAAGTTAAGATTTGACCATCATCAGTACATACAAAATTAAAGACGCCAAAAATAAAATTAAACAATAAACGCTAGTCAGAAAAGATTGTAAAACGATTTTTACTTATGGTACGAGATAACAGAGTAATTTGACAAAACTTGAAATTGAACATTACTTAATCGCTAATGAATTATTTTCTATTACACAGTAGGATTCTTTATTACAAGAAGTAAAGTGCGACTCCGTGTGGCAAATACGTAATTTCTAAATTCTAATTGAAATTAAAAAAAAAGAAATGATTTTTTAACACTATTACTTTACAAAATTACTTTAAATTCTTATTTGTGCGAATTAATTTAGTTACATAATAAAAATTGCTTACCATTTTTTGACGCAAAATATCGCAAGTGCAATTCGAAGTTAATAGTATAAAATTAAGCAACAAGAATTGGAACTTTTTGTAAGAACACTTACTGATAAAAATGTGAAGGCACGTAGCAGGTGACAGCCTTTATAAGTATTAAAAGGAAAGGAGAGGGAAGGAAAGTGGAGAGGGATATTCTATTGGTGAGTAGCGTGACTTTTTCCAACGATTGATAGATAAATTTCTGGAAAGTGCTCTGTGTCACTCTGTTTATTTAAACCCATTTCATGTCTTTTTATGTGTATCATCTTGGAGATCATCCTTTTATAATAAGATTGTTCGGAATCAAGAATAATCGTATTATTCCAATCAATCGTATGATCTAGTTTGTGCAGCGAGATAACAGACATAGTATTCGTTACTTTTTTGAAATCATTTATATGTTCTTTTAAACGCGTCTTTAATTTTCTTTTTGTCTGTCCTACATATAAGTAATTACAATCAAGACAATTAATTTTATGCACTACATTTAAGTGATTTTTTTTAAATTTTATCTTTGTCTATTTTAATAAAAATATTCATACAATTGATTGGTTTGTGAGTGATATTAAAGTCAAATTTTTTTGTGATAGAATTAAATTTTTCAAAGATATTATTAAGATAAGGAATAGTAAAATATTTTTTTGAAATTTCATAACGTTTACGTTATTAAATTATAATTTTAAATATGATTTTTGTTTAAGACATCTAGTGTTGTGGCTGAATGCTCCCTTTTGTTTATATTTTATATTAGTAAGCTACTTTTAAACAATTTCAATATTATGATTAAATTCAGGATTGAAAATTTCATAAAAATTATACGATATCGTTATACATACTTTTTGTAAAAGTAACTTGTTACTGTTACGATTCCTTAGAAAGTAACAATTCGTTACTTTGTTTTTGTTATATTTTGATTATGTTAAAGTAAGATATTATATTTAAAAATTAACATTTTTTAATAAGCAATATTAATTGTAAAATAAATACTAAAATTCTGAGCTACTCTTTTATACAGCAAACTTTTTTTATACTAAAGTTATGTTTAATAAATCTCCTATAATTCTCTTTCGAGAGAGAGAGATTTTTTTACATTTTTTATATTTGTGTATACTTATCTTTTTTATCAGAAAACTAATTCAGCTAGTTCAGACATAGTACATCAATCGTACAATTTGCGACAAAGTCTGATAGGACCTTCTCCTTCTCTAGTTCATAAAACCAATATCTATACTGAGCTGTTGAATGATGAAATCTTTACATGCAGCGTAATTATTGTCAGATATTCAATAAATAATAGTAGTTTTGTCACCAATGTCTATTAATATAGAGCAATTTAATGTATCGAGTTTTTAATACACTTTTATGATGGCCCATATCTAACGTAAGGGTAACACATTTTTATCTATTGTTTATCTATTGTACGAATCAGCATAATAAAATTTGCAACTTGACTAATTAAAGAATGTTTCAACTTTATAACTTAAGTAAATTTTATATTTAATTAGTATCAATTAGTTTAGAATGTGTAGTTAAACAATATTAAAACAAATATCAAATAAGGAAAAAAATGATTTTTGTAATAATGTTGTTTATTATTGTTATATTCTAGTCTTCTGTATAATTTAGTTTAGTTTTATGCCTTTTTTTAAAATTTATTTTACTTCAAAGTTAGAATAATTAAATTACTTTTTTTATTAATTTATATACGCATTCCATAACATTATATGCGTTTTATTTAGATATTTTTATTCTTATTAATAGGCACTATTTCTATTACAAAAATTAATTAAGTGTCTGAATAAATTAAATTTTTAAATATAGATGTTAAATATAGATAAATAATACATTTCACATTCTTTATAAAAAAACAGTAAATTTATGTACTTCCGTATTTTATAACAGTATATTTAATTTTATAGAAGCAACTGTACTGCGGAATATTGTCATTGAGGTATATAATATATACGATCATAGCATTGTTTTTTGTATAAGTATAAATCATCTGTGTTGTACTATATAGTTCAATATTTATATCAATTAATATACTTCAAATTACAAAGAAGTATCATCTGGAATACAATTTTCCGTATTGTTAAAATATCATGATTAATTATCGTAAAAAATAATGGCTTGTCAATGTACAGATGCGGAACAAGTATAAAATGCAGTCTGTTTATGGGATTGTTATTAAACAGTAAAATGTATTCCAAAGCTATCGTGTTCTTTGCTTTCCTAGCCATGGCGGTCGCCAGTAAGTCAATTTTTTCGATTTATATAATATACCGGGAAAAAATGTGGTATATACTTATAATTATATAAAATTATATATAATTATATATAATTATATATAAAACATTTTTTTCCGGGATA